TCAAAATCGATATATATATATATATATATATATATATATATATATATATAGTTTTAAACTAGTATTGGAGAACATAATCACTTCATATGAAAGAATGATCAGCAATCTAAAAAAGACTTTTAACCCCAACCCCACACCAAAGGAGGTACGTCACGGAATTTAAAAAAAATACGGCATATTTTAAATAGGTTTGTTGCAAGACTCCCTTCTTCTGTTCATGAAGTTTTTTTTTTTTTTTTTTTTTTTTTTTTTTTTTTTTTTTTGCTTTCACTGCATGTTTACCCTCTCTCTGTCAAAGTTTGAGATAGCATCTCTTCCTAAATAAGTATAAACCTCTCCTATCATTTTTAAAGTCTCTCACTGCTTTCATCACAGAAATCACTGGGCTTTAAGTGTTTGTTTTTTTAAATAGGACTAGTTTTGGAAAAATAGGGTATCATAGGACAATTTTTTGAGTTATACGAATATTATAGGGATAGTTCTCTCTATTTCCTCTTTTCCTATTTAAATACCATAACACAGGCATACATGTGTCTATTTGTGTGATCGCTTACCAATAACAAACCATCTACATTACTTCTGGGGAACTTCGGTTAAGCTCTTAAAATATCTTCCACAAATCTTCAGCATTGCCTTGGCATCATGCTGTATGTCGTATGCATGAAATGATTAGAGCTCTATGGGCCACAACGCTCACCTGAATAACCTTGACCCTGCTGTTTCTTCTTAAAATTTTTCCTTCTTTTCTCCCATGAAAAATGTTATTTTTGTCCCATTTTCATTCATCTATTATTCACAAGTCAACATGACTATTAAAAACTATAAAATTAAAAAGTATACCTTTTATATTATATATTACAAATTCTCGTATAATCCCTTTATTCAATTTACCTATCAATTACATTGATTAATTATCATTAGTGAATTACAAAGGGGAATAACTTCACTTAAAGCAGAGTAAATATTTCTAAATATTTAATAATAGATGCCACCCTAACCCCAGAACCCCTGTCTCAAGGGCCATGAATGTCCCCAGTTTGGAAGAAGCATTCTTTCTCATCATAACAATTAAATGTTTATCTACTAAATACTCAAGAGAATTCAGATATGATCATTATAAGCTCTGCTTTAACGTAGTATGATGTTTAAAGTATCTCTTATGACATATGATTTCATCATTGAAAGATGAAATATTTTATAGACCTAAGATTTTTAAAAATATTTTTCAGGAAAAATATAAAAATTGCTTTGGTTGCAAATAAGACGTCGGAGATTTTTTTTTGGCCATTAATTAATGCAAAGCATAAAAATCTAATATAACATGTCAGAGAGAGTCAGATTGAAACTTTTGTTTTGTTGATTTTTGAATTAAAAAAGATATTCATGAATTAAACAAAAGCATAAATTATCAATATACACATGTACTCTGTATATATTTTATTAAATCTTTGGATGAAATCTTCAAAAACCGTTTTAAACATGAAGCAATGAAGAAAAGAAGAAACTGAAATTGAAAAAAAAAATAATAGAAAAATGACTCTCCTTGATGTGTTTTATTATATTTTAATGTTAAACGTTAACAAAAAGCAAACTTTCAGGTCTTCAGTGTCTTATAAGCAACCAGAATTTTTTTCTTTTTTTCTCTGAAAAATCACAAAAAAGTCACACAAAAAAATCCATGTAAAATAATTCAGAGCTTAAATTGGTCTTTTATGAAGTCATACAAGTATTTCAAAAGGGATAGTCTAATCATCCGTTAATTAAATGTTTTGTGTGTCATACCATCTGAAATCCAAAACCCTTGACTCTTAACCGGGTTCCATGAATTTCACAATTTTGAAAGAGGCACCCTTTCTCATCATAACTATTCACTTAGTTTGTCTGCGTAATACACAGGAGCAGAGGAGATGTTCAAATTATTGCATTTTTTCTTTGGGTTGATTTGATTTGAACACGAGTTAGAATCTGCAGTCAGGTTTTTAAATAAAACAAGTATCTTTTGAAGAACAAGGTCTTTGAAGAACATTTAATAAGATGAGTTATTTTTGTCTCATTTTTAATAATCTATTATTCATAAGTCTATCTGATCATTTTCTTTTTCTATTAACCTTTCAAATACATTATTTATAGTGATTAATTATCAAAGGTGAATGGCAAAGTGGAATAACTTCTATCAGTAGAATACAAATTAATAGAGTCCTGACCAGCACCAGAACACTTGACCAAATGGTCTATAGAATATCAAATCTGTAAAAATATCCTTGCTTATTAAAACTTTTACTCTGATTTCGAGAAGCCCACTAACAGAGAAAATTTCAAAGAAATAATGCATTTTCACCAAAGATTCAACACAGTCCCACACAACTCCAAAAACCATGAAATTCACAAAATTAGAAGAGGTACTCTTGTTTATCATAACTATGCACTTAATGGAAGATTTTGAATTAACACATTTTCACTATATTATCAGTAGACCCCCATCCCTCAAACCCCTGACCCTGTGACCAAAGTTTTAAAAATTTTGGGAGAAGCACCCTTGCTCATCATAACTATGCACTTTGTTTCTCTACTCAATACCCAGAAGCAAACTAGATTATTTAATAGAATTAGTGCATTTTTACTATATCATCAATAGAGCCCCATCCTTCCACCAGAACATCTGACCCAGGAAACTGGAAGAAGCACCCTTGCTTATCATAACTTTACACTTAGTTTCTTTGCTTTATAACCAGGAGCAGAAAAGAATATTTTCAAAGGCATTATTCATTTTCACTATATAATGATTAAAGCCCCCTCCTCCCCCTCCCCCCTTCACCAGAAAACCGACCCTTTGCCATGAATTTCACAATTTTGCATATCATAACCATGCACTTAGTTTGTTTACATAATACCCAAGAGCAGAGAGGAAGATTTTCAAAGAATTAATGTATTTTCATAATATAATCAACAGAGCTCCATCCTAACACCAGAACCCTGACACAGGGGCCATAAAATTTACAATTTTGGAAGAGATCCCCTTGCTCATCATAACCATGCACTTAGTTTGTTAAGTAATACCCAGTAGCAGAGAAGATTTTCTAAGAAATAATGCACTTTACGATCTATATAGCCCCACTCTACCACCGAAACCCCTGACTCTGGGGCCACAAATTTCACAATTTTAGAAGAGGAACTCTTGATATCATAACCATGCACTTAATTTATCTGCTGAATATCCAGGAGCTGACAAGAACATTTTCAAAGATAATGCATTTTCACTATATAATCAATAGAGCCCCATCCTAACACCAGAACCCCTGACCCAGGAGCCATGATTTTCACAATTTTGGAAGAGGCACCCTTGTTCATCATAACTATATACTTGGTTTATTTCATAGACAGGGGGAGAGAAGAAGATTTTTTAAAGAATTTATGCATTTTCACTATATGATCATTGGAGCCCCACCCAATCTCCAAAAACCCTGACCATGGGGCCAAAAATTTCACGATTTCATTAGAGGGCTTAATGCTTATTACAATTATGCCAATAGTGAGACTGTTCAGTGTAAAGAGGAAGATTTTTAAAGATCATCACTAATTTTGATGGTTTTAGCCCCACCCCTAAGACCCAAGGGGGGCTGGGACCATGAAATTCATCATTTCTATTTCCCTTCACTCATAGGTGTTATGTGCCAAAAATGGGTGAAATTGGTTCAGCAGTTTGAGAGAAGAAGCTGAAAATGTTCAAATGTTAATGCATGACGGACACTGCGACGGAAAACAACAGGCCCCAAGACCATAGACTGAGAACAGACTTAATTTTATTCAAAACTGCAAATTTTTAAGCAAAATCATTAAATGAAACTCAAGATATTAAACATCAAAATTTTGACTTAAACCTGTTCTCAGTTTATGATCATGGGGCCAGATAGCAATAGGTACCCTGAGTGACTCAGGTGACCTAAAAAGACAGGGATTTTATAGGACATATCTATAGGCAATATATGGGCACTTGATGGCCTGACAGCATAATTAAGTCATGTTGTGTCATGCAGCTGATAATTATAATTCTTCTCTGCTCTTCTGATACCATGTATGTTACTTCTTTTTAACTACCAGAATTATCCAATAATTAAGAGTAAATTAAACCAATAAATACCTCATTAACATTTTATTTTACAAATTTAATTTTATTCATGATATGATAACATGTACAACGATGAAAGGATGTTTAGTTTATATAAGAAAAGTACAACACAAACACAAATCCCCTGCATAAAAGTTCCTATCATGTGTAATGCAGTGATTTGTGCTGCACATAAAAAGACACCATCCATCATGTAAAAAAGAGGACTAAAAAATTAATTTAATGCTACAAGTTTAAAAAAAAAAGAGGATAAATATTCACTTATTTAGATGTTTTTGGAAATATTAATCAAGACACTTCCAGCCCACGAAATTTACAATTTAAAAAAAAATATTTCTTGATGTAATTTATGGTAATCATTACCAAAGCAAAAAAGAAAGCATTTACCAAGAGAAATATAACCTTCCAGTGCCTAAAATAAATTCTATAAATAAAACAAGGTATCCATTTTATATAGTACCACATACTGGATAAAAAATTAATTTAGTATCATATATTAATTTCCTTATGCATATATCATTCACCAAAGTATCAAGAAAGAAGAAATGTAACTAATTTTCTTACATGAGATTTTTAAACCTCTAAAGATACACACACAAGCATACTTGATAATGATTTCAACATTAAAAATTTTTCTGTTAATTTACTCGTTAGATCCATCTACATGTAAATCAATCATTCTCAATACTCTTAATGATTGAAAGAAAAAGTATCCTGAAACTAACAGAATACAGATTTGTGATGATCTATTGACAAATTTGATCAGCATACTGCTGAGGCTAATGAGAGAAAGAATTATGGATTGTATCCAGAAATCACAGATGCACGGAGACCACGGAAAGCCATATACAGCAAGTTGTTAGCTCCCCTTAATCATACTCCACGCATCCTGCTGCCATTGTTTGTGTTGAAATTGCAGATCAGAAAGACGGTCACGAAATCATCTACAAAGATCAAACAGGACAGGTACATTTTTATGCACACAGAGGTATATTTTTTTTTAAAAGCTATAATGTATAACAGAACTTCTAAAGAATTACACTATAACTGATTAAATGTAAAATTCTCCAAATGGCTTTTATCGTTTCAAGTTTAGTTTATAATTGCTTGTATGGTGAAGTTCACATCTTTTAGGCAGTGTGCCCAAAAACACTGGCCTGAGTCCCAAACACTAGAAAAAATTCTGTCGGGAAGTAGAATGCAGGTCGGTACTAGCCTGATCAGACTAATAGAATTTTCAGCTGTATTTTCATTTCCATCTCAGTATTTTGAACAATTTTTGACTGAAAAGATTTATATTCTTCATTGAAATTTTCCACTTTCTCAATGATTCTGTCTTTCTATCCATGCTTGGTTTGACTATTTATAATTTTTCATGAAGAAAAAAGTTGAGACCAGACTGTCACTGACTTTAAGAAATGCTTTGAATTATAACACACCAGTTTCAAACAAATGGAAAGATTGATGGGCAGTGACGCCAGTGAGCCATAACTCAGTCATTATGAATACATTGTAATGAAATGTTAATGGTGAATTGAAAAACAGTTTATTTAAAGGATCAATTGCAAGTAACCGACAATAAAATGACAGAATTGAGGGTTCAAAGAAATCTAATTTTTTGAAATTAAATAATGAACCATTTTTTTAATAAATCCAAAGAAATGAAACAAAACTATCATTTTACTTTTCATACTTTTAACATGGCTTACCGAGCTAGTTTAAAGTGATTTGGGCTAGTAAAATTTTGCAAATGCTTGGCTGACTGGTCTAGTCCTAAAAATTCATTTTGATGCACACCGTTCAAGCTCATTCTAATACAGAATAGCAAAGGAAGTTTTAAGAGCTTGTTGAAAAAAAAAAAACAATAAGTAACAAACCTCTCGAACTGTTTCTTTGATGAAATCTTTACGATCTGACAAATCAAATGTAGGGTACCTAGCATATACCTAAAAAAGAATTGGACTATTAATATACTGTACATACAGTGATTCATTATGGTGTGCGTCCTGCGTAAATTATGCACAAATTTTGCTTAGGACGCATTATTTCAATAAATCTGCATCCCAATGGACGCAATAAATTTATAGAAGGACATGTACTATTTTAAATTAATTCGGTATAGTCAGATTCAAAACTTGACCGATTGCATCATATCCACGTGCTAAGCGATATGCATGAATGATTTTACAAGGTATAAGGTTGCCAACAACAGGTCAGATTTCACAACTGCATTTAAAAGCATATTTGAAAGTTAGATAGCATAGATCGATTATCACAGATTATGTCTATTCCATGGAACGTTTCTGAAGTGAATACTATACCTTTGTATTTAAGCTGTAGTTAACCTGTATCATTGTTTTTTTTGTTTTGTTTTTTTTTCGTTTTTTTTTTTTCGTTTTTTCCTTACAAGCTAAGAAGTATAAAATTTAATCATTTTTATTTCTGACTATTTGTCATTACTTCTTAAACTTTTTTTTAATTCATTCTGCTTCTGTGCATTTTATGACTGATACTATGTGTGAGATCGTACGTACGATCTAAAAATAGAACCAAAGTGCACAGTGGGCAATATATTATTTTTATGACACAAAATCATGTACTCTTACTTAGACAATTGATAGTAAGAGTATAAGTCACTCACAACTACAATAAAACATTTGCACTTTCGTGCAATACATGTACCCTTTTTTATTTCACCAGAATTTCCTCTGTAACATCTAATATACGGTATCCTTGGATTTGGACGCATTGATTTTGGCACGGGACTCATTGTTGTCATTAAGTAGGGTCCTTTGGACCCATGATAACCATTTTCAAAATGAATCACTGTACATATAAGGTGATATCAACCTTTTTATGTGAAGATTACAGAAACCAACAGATACATGTACAAGCAAATGAGTACAGTACATTGTGTGGCAAGATATATGAAAATGATAGAACTACATGAAGCATCAACTTCATTTAGCATTGGTTGTCTACTACAGAATGCTTACAAAACACTGTCAGGCCTTTCAAAATCTAATAGACTACTACCAACATATTTTTGCTATCCATTCAATTTTCTCCTTGAAAATTTAGTATAAGATTAAAAGTCAAACAGTCTCAAGAAATATATTTTTGTGGACACTAACTTAGATCTACAAGTCATAGTCTCTGAGATGTCAAATTCAAATTTACAGTCCATCAAAGTCCTATTTCAAATGATTAGGAATACTTCCGTTCAGTTTAAATATCATTTACCACTTGCATTTGCAGTGTGCTCCAAACATTTATTCTTTGTGTGTGTGCAGTTTTTCATATTTTTGATGAACATTTTACATATGTATCAGTGTTGTATCAGTGTATATAAGTTCAGTTCCCTTACTTGTTTGACCACTGTCTTCATGGTCACTTCCTCTAAGTTTGCTTTGTCCAGAATCTTTTTAATCAATCCCTTCAATTCTTTGTCCTAAAATAATTGTATTGAATATCAACAGAGTACAATCTCCATCAATCTGATAAGTGAAGCATAAATTAATTTCACTAGTAAGTACTGTAAATGTTTCCTAAGAAGATGTAAAAGCTGTGGGACTAAAAACATAAATACTGTAGACATACTGATGGAGGCTGGGGTTCTTTTTTCTTGACAAGTGGTTCTTCATCTGAATCTTCGTCACTTTCCTCATCTGATGATTCTGTGTGAAGTCAAATGAAATCAATACTAATTTGGTTATGGTTCATGGTCGGAAAAACTAATCACTGCTAATTATCTGTAAATAATCTGACATACCGGCCTTCTTGGGGGAAACTTTCCTCTCTTTCTTTGCTTCTTTCTTGGGTGCAGGCTTCTTGACAGCTGGTTTTTTGGGAGTTTCAGTCTTTTTTTTCTTGGCAGGTGGAGTCTGAAATAATTTTCCATAGCAATAAATGTGTAAAAGTCAAAATTGCTGCAACTTCTCTTTCTTCTTATTCCAGATGATATTCCAATAACTCAATGTACTGTAACCTAAGTATTAAATGCATCATTTTTTTTATTTTTAAATTGCTCATTTGAACTAATCCCTGAAAATGAATTTTGTGAGCATGAAATCATTTTACTTATTGAACAACTGGTTCGCGGTGATAAATATCCTCGAGCATAGGTTGTTCAGGAAACACATGGAGATTTATTGCACATGTATAATACTTGGTCTACAGTTTTAGGAATTAAAAAAAAAAATACTAATAAGTTTTTTTCCCTAATGTTTATAACAAAAATGGAAATAAACAGTACATAATGCAAAACATGCTAACAATATTTTGCTTGCACTAAGATACATGTTGAATATTTCCATTGTCACTTTATAATACCTCTTCCTCCTCCTCCTCCTCTGACGATGATGATTCCGACTCCTCTTTGCTCTCATTTTCTGACTCCTCTTCACTTTCTGAGTCCTCAGCATCTGAGGAGGATTTCTTCTTTTTGGCTGCAGCTTTAGTTTTCTTTTCCTTTTTGACAGCCTTCTTTTTACCCTCTGCTTTTCCACCTGATTTTGACTTCCCTAAATATGATCAAAATTACCTTTACTTTATGTGATTACATGTAAATTCACCTTCATCGGCATTTCACTGTATTATTTTTTATTCTGCATGTTATTCTCTCCCCCTTTTGGATAATTGGGGGATGGGAGGTGGGGGATCTTAGCATGAAGATAAATCACATCTTACTTTTTCGTTTTTTTGAGGCAGGGATGCCTTTTCCAGAGTCTTTTGGACACAAACAGAAATCTATTATTCTTTCAGCTATTTCATCACGCACTCCTTTCCTTTCCAAGTCTAAAATTTCACATATTTTCTTTAGAACTGCCACAGTTTGTCTATAAATAGAAAACAAAGAATAAAAAAAATTCAAGTGAATAAAAAATAACATCATTAGGTAAGTTATACAAAAGAACTTAAGTTGCATGCTCCAGTTTTCAGCAGTATTTCATCCAAACCTAGATCTTTATAGGTAATATGCTTCTCATATTTCATTTTTACAAATTTATTGCATAAGATCTCCCTCTTAGATTGTCCAACTAGAACTGTCCTAATGGGAATAATACCGTCACAACCCTACACCTCATAGCACAGATGTTGAAAAAAAAAAAAAAAAACTGCCTAATTCATTTAATATCAGAAATTTGTCATTTAGTAGAATCTTGAAGTTCTCCAAATTTATGATTACTTAGCACATGTATATGTTCAAACATATCCTCTAATCGTGACCAACCTTTGAGTCAAGCTCTGGGGTTATAAACATTCCTGAAGCATATGCATGACTACATACATGTATGTTTAAAAGAATGCTTTTTGATGCACGATAAACATTTTTTTTTTATTATTTTGTATCCAAATTTCAAAGAGGGATTTTTTAAAGTTCATTTTTGCTTTGATTTTCTCAATTCTCTCTTGATTGAACACGTTACATCAATGAGAATATAAAGAAGAATTTTTCTAAATACTTTAAAATTGTATGTAATTCATATCATGATATTTGAGAGTGAACAATAGAATAAGGTATTATAATAACTTACTTTTTAAGATTTGCTAATTTCTTCTTGTATTCATCGTCATTCTTATTAAAGGCAAATCCATTAAATAGACGTAAATTCTTCCTAATAAGAGTTGCCTGCAAATAAAGTTGTAATAGCATACAGACTGAAATCAATACTTGCTCAGTAGTTTGCAAAGTGTACATCCTATCTTCTTGAATTAAATTTTACAGAATATAATACAAAATAAATAAATAATTAAACCAACATACCTTTCCAGTTCTGTTGAAACAAAGCCTGTGCAAAGCTTTTAAATCGTCCACCTTTGCTTTTGAGATGTGAAACTCAACTGTAATAGAATTTTAAATTAACTTCATATTCTAAGTTTCTATTACTCATAAACAGTACACATTAAATTAATAATATGATTAAAAAAAAGATTATTAGTGATTTTTTAACAAAGTAAATTTGAAGAGTAGGTAGGTCTAAATAACAAGATCTGAGAATACTTGAGATTCACTCTAATTTTCCTTCTCAAAGAAATATGTCCAGGGCAGTCAATATCATTAATATTTATTTTTTTTCATGCATGTTTCAAAATTATTCAAATACTGAGATTTTTAATTCAAACAGAATTGCTTTGAAGCTTTTCTGATTTGTGGCAGATAATAACAATTTCAGATGAGACATTTTTGTAGTTATTTGAAAATTTGACAGTTATAATTGACGGAACTTACTTCGTGCACAATCTCCTAGCTTATCTCCAGAGCCATCTCCCACCTCAAATTTCTTTGTTTCCTTTGGAGCGGGTTCTTGCATACTCAGACGTTCAACTTTCTTTTTCTCCCTTCTTTTACCAGATTCAATGATTACAGGGCGCTCTAAGAGACCAGCTGTAGAAAACAAAATGTATTTCTCATTGAAATATGCACATGCTTAATAATACATTTAACACATTACATGATTAATCAATGATTGATATTGATTACAAACTTATGAAATTAAAGATTAATATTTTTTTCCTTGTAAACTGATATCTCTTTTGTCATGTACAGGTACATCATTGTCATACATTAGGTTTAGATTTTGAAAATCAACAGAATGCAAATCAGAAAAAGTCTTACGCTGCAATTCTTCTTCTTCTTCCTCCTCTTCTTCATCACTTTCTTCTTCTTTCTTGTTTTCATTTATTGTCTTTTTCGGAGATGATTTCACTGGACTTTTTTCTTCCTCAGATGACTCCTCTGTCTTTGGTGTATCTTGAACAGGTTCTTCATCTTCTTCCTAGATAGTTAAGATTTCTAATATTATTATAGGACAAGAAAACAAACAAACAAACAAACTGTATCCTATGTGTAGCAAAATAAACAAGGGCAGTTAACTCTAATCAACATTAAACAAAACTGAATGTAAACATGAAATTTGCAGTCAAGAACAACAAATTAAGACAACTATATAATTTTTCCTTTAAAGTAAACTCGGCAAGCTCTAATGGTTAATTTGTAAGAACAAAGGAAATCTGAACTGAAATCTGCAAATTACTCAGTCAATTTTAGTGTTTCAGTTTTCAAAATTCTACAAATTTGCAATCAAATCCTTGCAAACATGGATAATGATAGGAAAAAAAAATAACATGTAGGCCACCAAGATTTTGTTGCTTCAGAGAATTTTGTACTGAGAATTTGCACCCAAACAACAATCAAATGCAGCTGGATGATTTTACCCTAGGTCCCTAGCAGTGTCAATACCTTGTTGCTTAGAGAACAACAGACGCAGAGGCATCTGTTTATTTTTCAGTTTATCATGATATCATGATCAAGATTCAGGTAAGTGTGAATAAGTTGAAAATTGGATGTGCAGCAGCAGGTAGCATTATTACTGGGAAGCAGCAACTACATAGAATAATCTAACTGTGTCTCAGTACCAGCCCTCACCACAGTTAGATTGCCTCCCATATATACTCGCAATGTAGCAAAAAATTGCAGAATCACTCTGAAACGATTTTGAATAATACAAAAGAATTTGCACTGAAAATAACTACCAAATTAATTATAACAAACCTTTTTTGAGGTTGTGTATGACTTTTCACCTAAAAAGTATTCCAAGTAGAGACGAAAAATCAATCTTTTTCTCAACGTTTTTCACGCTTTGAATTTACCCGCCTTATTGACATTCGGAACTCTCTGGATTGTTAGATTATTTTCTTTGCTACATAACCAATACACAGAACACATTCTATCATTAAACCAGGTCCATAGGACAATATCATTTAAATGATGGAACATTCTATTTAAGCAGCTACCAATGAAAGCATGCCAAAGTGGACACACACTTATAAATGAAAGATGCATAATTTTTCTCTCGATAAAAAACCCATAGAAAACTAATTTTTTACTTTACAGTCATTTTACCGGTAACGAATCGGTTGTTATGCCTTGCACGCAACCTACATGGTCAAAGTTCCAAATGTTCTTGGTTGTTGTTTAATTTGTATTTCTATGCTTTTCAAATAAGTGGTACCAAAATTCCAAAAATATAAATTGTACAGGCACAGACATGTCAATTACAACACCCCCCTCTTTTCCTAGTTTCGAATTGATTTTTCAGTATCGAATCTCGAATCGAGTGCCCTCTACTATTGCCGACCCAATAAATAAAATTGGCAGATCGAAATTATTGTTGAAATATGCCTTCAAGAAAATTGTACATAAAGTATATGAACATTACTTGTTGATTTACATGATTTTTCTCCCTAAAACTAAACAGTTTGAATATTTTTGCATTTTATGATAAACTTTTCGTGATATGCTTTATTAAAATTAAATCAACCATCTCTGAGAGACTGAGACATAATTTTCATGGAATATCTTTGCTTGTAATTTGTTTTGGTAGTATTTTCACTACTATCGGCTTTTCATGTTTTTGCCTCCTGTAAAATGACATTTTTTGAACGTAGAAAATTCATGATTCGAAACTAGGAAAACAATACGTGGTTAGTTTGGATGTTATATTTTCATTTAAAAGTCAATTATTGTTTATTTTAATATTCTAACTTGTTACAATTATCCTAAATATTGATAACATTCTCCATCTCGATCAACAACACACTGAAAAGTTTGATTAGGCCAAAGTTTTTATTTTTTTTGGTTTACGATTTTCTGTCTCAAAAAATTGCATTGGGTGGTCGAAAAATAAAAATAAAAATAATTTAGGATTCAACAGTTTCATTTTAAAATACCAGCAATGTTTATTTTAATAAAAATAATACAGGTTAATAGTACTTTTAAGTTTTATTGTCTAGATCACATAACTCTTTTTAATTTTGATTCATTTCTAACTTTAGACTGAATGTCATTTTCATTTACATATAGTTCTGATCTTTGCTTGTCAATCAGTGCTTGGTTCAACTTCTTTTTGTGCTCTTCAGTGATATGTGATGTGTTATAAACCTTGGTATCAACACAAACTAAAAATAAGGATCCAAATTTAAATTAAATTTAGATTGAAGAAAAATACAATTTAATTGTTTAACAATATAAAAAATAACTGACGTTTAAATAAAGGTTATAATAATTTGATCATGCAGCTATCGAATTTAATGTTCAACCTGCGGCACAAAAGCCTAATATTTCTCAATGAAGTCCTTCTTTAAATTTTTGTTATACATGTATCTGCACAGTAGGCAATGCTCATTATTTACTTAGTAATTCAAAGGGCTTTGATCTCAATTGAGTATGAAATTTGCAAAGATTTGTATATTGAATTTACTTCTATAAATTAACAACTGTTTTATACACATTTGAATTTATCCAGTGAAATACTGGTCAGTGTTACTTCAACTAAGATGTATCTCTCAACACTAAATTGGCCTAATCCATGGATTTATCAGCCTGTTTTGGTAAACACCATTTTTGGGGAATTGGGAATAAATGGCTATTTGATGAAATTGGAAAAAATTTTAAAATGTTACTTAAATCCTGTATTCAGGGGTAATTCATTTAACATTTCAGCATGAACTCTAATTTGGGCAACCAAACGACAATTAAATATGATCCATCTTCATCATACAAGATCAATTATGAATAATAGACTAATAAAAGTAAATTGGACTTCAATGAGTGTAAAGGATTTATACAACTTAGGGTTGTACATGTGTGTATGAGATTTCAATTTTGGTCATATAGTATCTGTTTCTGGAGATTATAAACCTCCTGCAAAAAATTATACTAAGTACACATTTTCTAAAAGTTCTCTTTTAATATGTATTAATGCATTGAAAATATATTTTTCTATCTGAAATAATGCCTAAAGTCCTTACCATTCACTCGCAGATCAATTGAGTAGGTGGAAATAACTTAATAAATCCAGGGGTAGAAACTCCCTAAAATTACAACTCGCAAATAATTGTGAGTACCAAAAAAGTGAACTCGCAATTTCACAAGACTTCTCGCAATTTTCATATAAAAGCCTTTATAAATCAACTCGCAAGTTTTTGCGAGTAACCAAATTTTAAATTCGCAATTTGGGAATCTTAACTTGCATTTTGCGAGTTGTATATAGTGAATTTCGAACGCTGAAATCTAAATAATTACACAATATCATCATTTTTAGAAAAACGGAGGAAATTCGGATTAAAAGTTGGTGATGTTTTTACAGTGTTTTTAAACATGTGTTATGACTGTAGCTTTGCTAAATGAGTTAAATAGATGAAAATTACAGACAGTCTGACAATTTTAATTACTTAGTGTTTTTTCAAGATAATTAAAAATAAAAGCATTGTACACCAATTAGCAAAACATACTGCCAAATTGGGAAAAACTGAACTCATTTTCAGAGCTCCCACTGGAGCGAAAATATTTTTCGCCACTTTTCGCGATGAAAGGAATCACATTTTTACATCTCGTCTCGACAAGTGTACAGTGTTAAACAGTCATTTTCAATTGGGAATGGGGCCAAATTTCGACCCCTGAGAAGGCACTGATAAATCCCTGTTATCTATAGGTGTATCCGTGTCTGCTAGGTCGATCAGGGTTGGGCATACACTCTCCAATATTACGGTATGAATTTAGCCAATTGAGACATTGCAAATGGAAAAAGGGATCCTGCATCCAAGATTTTATTCACTTTTCCATGCAGAAAAAGTTCTTTAAGTGTGTGTCATTGCTTTCAGTGAGGAATTACCTTGTTACATGATAGAACCGCCATTTTTGTCTGCACATGTGTTTATTTACGGTCACCTAAATGTTTGTAAAGGTCTCATATGTTGATAAGCGCTTATTCGACTAAGATGCATTCTAAAATTTAAAACCCACCAGTTCAGCTGAGAAAAATCCCGAAAAATATGTCGGAAAAAGACATTATTTTTATTTTCATAATTGGTGAAAATTAGGGTCGGCGGAATCGTAAACCAAAAGAAAAAAAACTTAAGCCTTAAGACGCATTTGTTCACACACTTTCATTTTCTATGACTTGCACTTGCGCATGTTGAAATCTGGGTCATTGTTTCAAATTGTAAATACTGTGGAAAATAATCATGCAAAAGTTACAAAGACATAACTCAGGGGTAGAATATTCATCCTTTTATTGCATTTACCTGGTAAGAAATTTTTAAAGCCGTCATTATGTTTTTCAAGATTAATTAAATAAAAAATTATTCGATATTGGCAAATATTCGTTACCAGTAAAACGACTGTATCAGAAAAATCAAAACGACTTCATCTGGGTTAAAATCTTGTTGATCAACATTCTCCAAAATACACATTGAAGGATGGTTTATCTATAACTCTAAGAATGTGGAATATAACAACATCCCATTTAGGTTTTTGGTTAGATCTATTTGCAAGTAAAACATAAGGAAAAATGAAATTAAAGGTTCAAACAAAAATACAAACAAAAGGTACAACAAAGAAAACAACTATTGTCTGGGTGTAAATAATCATAATTACATGTAAATTATACAATGAAACAGTCTAAAAATGGTGTACCTGACTTCTAACCTCTAAATATAATATATATAACCTTTTGTATGTGATGCACTCCGCTATGACTAGGGGGGGGGGGGGCAAAACAAGGTCTGGCCAAACTTGCAGAATGTGAAAGAGAGTACATTGCAGCGTTCCAAAGTGTTTGCACTTCTATATGTGCAACAAAGTTAACATAATCATATCTCACTTTTTTTTAAAATAAAGAATAATTCCAGCAAGTGCATAAACAGCAAAAATCACGAGGGAAAAAATGTAAACAAGCACACAAAAAACCGTATCTAGAAATTCAGTGGATAACAGGGCTAAATTTAAATTGCATACAACTTAGCAAAGGTCAGGTTTCCTATACTTGAAAGGATAAATTTACCATGTTTTCCACACTTGTTTCTTTGTCGTTTTCTGTATCTGACATGATGCTTGTGGTTTAAATTTTCACAATGGCGGCAAAATGGCGCTTATCATTGGTGTCCAATCAAAATTGAGTTAACAAATCGTCTTCATCAAAAGGAGTATTCTCGGCACGACCTGTCTAATGTCTTTCCAAAGGTAAATTATGGCTAAAGTAATAACATCGCTTTTGCTTTCCTCATTAAAGATTGTTGATGAAAAATTTGGTGCAAAAAAGATGTATAATTTAATATAAAATAATATTCCAAAGAGACAAAATTCGTAGTCTAACGATTTATTAAATAAAGCGTTTGAACGACGCAGATCATTTTTGACAACTGGTGTTGCTCATTTTGCATTTTCAGCTTTTGGAAAAGAAATTGTTGCAGTTAAATATTCATCATCTTAATGCCAGTACTGCAGTACCTTACAAACTGATGACGATGTAGGACAGCTTAATTGTTTTAAACAAAGTCATCTGTTTGATGAACTGACTGTAAGATTACTGTGGTCAGACTGTTCGGAATCAAATAAGGTAACAACACAGGGATATCTGACAGTTTTTTTCATATATATATATATGTATATATATATATATATATATATATATATATATATATATATATATATATATATATATATATACATATCTATATATAACCAATTGTCTGTAAGAACAAAATCTTGGTGTCCTATTTGTTTTGTCTGCGACAATCAGTGACCGCAGGGTATTGTGGAAAGTATTTTATAGAATCCTGGGATCAAGAACACAACATTTGATGTACAGATTCCAGTTTGATTTTCCTCAATTATATCTTTAGTTTTGCAAAATGAGCTATGCTGTTGCACTGTAGGGATAAGTTTAATCCTGACTATATACTTGTTGTGAGTAACTTTTCGAGCAGAGAAAAAAGTTTCAAAAAATGAAGCACAAACATACATGTAATATGATATTTAAAAATGATCTGTAATTCACACTATTATAAATATGGATGTTTAAAGATAAACTCTATGCTAATTTTGAATTTGTAATAAAAAATATTTTATCAAATTTATCAAAACATAAGAATAATCCAAAATGCAAGTTTAGTGTTGAAAATTGAACTGCTTATGTCTATATACTTTGTCTAACCTATTTTAAAATGGTTCATGAAATGCAAAAGCCGTACTCATTGTGATATACCTTTAATGTTTCAATCACAGGTGATGCATGTTCTTTGAAACATTCAAGTGTTTAACTGGTTTCAAAAATTTCTTTATAGACCTTGTTTAACATGGCTGCCTACACCGCAGGAAATAATTCGGTGGATCTTGCAATAGACCCACTCATTACCTGCCGCCTCTGTCTGATGGAGTGCCCACTGCAGGAAATGTATGAACTGAAGGACTGTAAATGTCTCTACTGTGAAAAGGTACAGTCTTCTCTCAGGCTCTAGATATAATTGTAAAAAGACAGTTTTATTTTAAATTCTACAGCATTATTATATATGAGTGAGTCTTACTTTATCAATTTATTTTTCAGTGTGTGCGACAGTATCTGCATGTGTTAATCACAGATGGTAGTATTTTAAAGATAACGTGTCCAGATGCCAAGTGTAAAAAACAGGGAAGGATTGAAGCTCCTGAGGTGAATTAATCATTATAATCTTACAAGTCATTTGCATGCTACATGTGATAAAGAAAAGGGCTTGGATGACTTTCTGATAAATTATTATGTCACAGTATGAGTTTCTATGATACAGATACATATATTTATTCATCCCCTTCAGTATCAAATATGATCGTACAGTAAATTATATAATAAATTTGTATAGTGAATTATATAATAATTAATTTCATCAAATTCAAGAAATATTTGATTCTATATTATTACTAAATTCTCGGTATTATTTACCCAAGCCTAGAAGTTATTTCTTACCAAACAAGAAATAAAGTTTTAGATGTTTCTTTATGCTTTTATGGGAGTTATTGGACAAAAACAAATTTCGAATTAGAGCCAAAATGTGATAAAAATATTATGTGAATCATATCATAAAACTGTACTGTATTATTGTTACACCATTGACCATTAACTATATATAAACAAATAAACAACAATGGTCCACTTTCATCTTTTTAATATATAAATTAAAGATACAAAAAAAAAAATTATTTTGCAAATCTGAAGTAAAATCACATGAATTTATTGCATATTGTCTACTGTATGAATTAGGTAATGTCATTGAAATAACTTGAGAACCATGTACATTTTATTTTCGAACATCGAAACAACCCCACTTTCATTATTTTGTCTCTGCAAAAATCACCGCTAGGGTCCCTGTGATTTTACACTGTTGTTTATTCATCGCCCAGACCAGCAGCAATAGCCTGTGGCTATAAATAGCCACCGTCTAAAAAGATAAAGAGGATTTCTTTTTTTTTTTTTTTGTTTTCAGATTGAATCACTTGTTGATGCTAGTCTGTTTGAAAGATATCATAGGCTTAGACACCAAAAAGGTATAAAGTTAACACAGTAAAATCAGTTTAATTTCTCAAACTTGTAAAAAAAAAATTAAAGGATTCTCATTTTGTGATGTATATTCTATATACATGTAAGATAACGTTAACGGGAAATGAAACCATTATTTTTATTGTTATAAGTTGTATGGGTAATGACATCAGGATATAGCAAAAATAGTCCAGGCATCAAAATCTTTTTAAAGGCTGATAAAGGAATAAATGATAATCATTTGAAGTGCTTATTGATGATGGATTTTTTCAGAGATAGAGTTGGACCCTAATCGTACGTTCTGTCCAGAGGTCGGGTGTGAGGCGGTGTGTCACGTTTGTAGTACTTCATCAGGAGAACATTATAGTCCTATTCCTGTAGACTGTCCTGAGGTATTAACTATGTATTAAAATATTACCTTATAACAGAAAGGGTTACAAAAGTTATTTTTTCTAAGAGTCAGAGTTAAAGCAATCTCTACCCAGTATTTTGGTTTCTTTGACAATCTTTGTCACACACTTACACCTCTATTATCATCTAGTCTTACAGTATTAGTCACTGTTGTTGCCTAGTTTTACAGTATTAGTCACTGTTATTGTCTAGTCTTACAGTATTAGTCCCAGATAACCTTGTAATCCATGTAAATGGTAAAAGTTTTACTCAAAACTTCATTTCTTTTATATGCAAAAAGTAATAGTATTCCTGTATCAATTTGATACTTTTTCCATTGAAATATCACCAAAAATTCAGTATTGTACATGGAGGTATAAAATTTCTATACCTGCTACAGGGTAATAACAGATATGTATCTGATGCAAATCTATAACTCTCTTTTTGGCAGAGCTTTTGTTGATGGTTTTTGAATGCAATACCATGGTAGGGAATGTATCATCCACTTATTTGAGAGAGAGAGACAGTAGGGATGATGGGGAAGCATTTTTTATGCCCCTGTAATATAAAGTTTAAGGACATATTGTATTGTTTTTGTTTGTCCGTTTGTTCGCAAAAACTTTAACCTTGCCCATAACATTTAATTGGTTAGAGCTAGGGCTTTCATACTTTATATGTATACCGTAAATCTGGATATTTTTGCTGTAGATAAAAATTAAGCAAATTTGCGCATGCATTGCATTCGCAAAAATATATTTCTTAAAAATAATTCAACAACAACAACAAAAATGAAAACAAAAAAATTTCGCTATTTTTAACAAGATGAACAGGTGTTTGTAAGCAGTGGTCATTTTAAGAAACTTGTTTATACTACAAGGTAATAACCCATGATAATCCGTGGGTAAGAGTGTCTTCACTACATTCAATATCGTCTGATGGTTTGACAGGCAGTATGTCTCTTTTAAATTATTTCTCCAAGAAAGAGAGGCCAGTTGTTTTATCTAAGAACAAATGTTTTTTATCTGAAGGTTAGTTAAAGCTGACATTGTTTTATATATTTTATGTACATGCGTGATTTATTAAAATGTTATGAAAACTTTAAATAGTTTAGATGTTTTATCTCTTAAATTCTAATATTTTTATCTGATTATTGAACATTGGCATTGTTTAGTATTGTATGTACATGTGTGATTTATTGTATGTACATGCATAATTTATAATCTGATTATTAAATGTTGGCATCATTTAATATTGTATGTACATGCGTATTTTATTGCATGTACTACATGCGTAACTTATAAACTGCTATGAAAATTTTAAGCGCTTTTTATTTAAGCACCAATGTCATTTCTCAAAATTTTGATATGTAAAAAATCAACAGCTTTTGGACCCAGATTCGCAAAAATAAATTGACATAAAAATTTCCAGATTTACAGTATTCCTTGTGAGAAGTCCTTTCTTTGGGTATCAACAATTTTGACCTTGACCTTGGTCTTTCACCTATTTTTAAAAAACTTTAACCTTGACCATCATTTCTGAACGATTGCTGCAAACTTTATTTGGGTACCAAAAGTTTTGATCTCTTGACCTTGACCTTGGAGTTTGACTTACATTTGAGAACCCTGAGCTGTCATACCCGGGTATCAGTGTTCACAAACACATCTTGTTTTAATGGTTTAACACAGCTGTAGAAGTCCAGATTCACAAAATAAAAAAGTATTAAGGCATACATGTATTCAATCACTTGATTTGGCAAATTTGGTTGCTAAAGATGTGAAACCTTCATAGGGAGGTTGTGAATGCTTATATGATACATAGAATTTAGATGTAATGAATGTGAGGAGATTTGCTATAGTTTTTTTTATTAGTGCTATGAATTGATTTTGTTTTTTGCAGTGTGGTCTCCAGTTTTGTTCAGTGTGTAAGGCAAAGTGGCATGGAGCCATGACGTGTGATGATGTAATGTTTAGTGGCAGACGTGAAGATGCAGGGTAAAACAGTTTACTCTTTTGTTTTAATCAGTACTGCTTTTATACTCCATCCAATAACACAAGAACATTTATGGGTGTTTTAAATGAGTTGCTTGTTTTCTTACCTTAACATAATGTAGACATACTTTTTTTGGTGTGGGATTAATTTACACTATGTATCACCAATTTCCATGGAAAGGACTATATATGATAAGAGTCAAATTTGGGCCCCCAAGATCAACATTTCAGAATATGATTCAGATATGTATAATTTTTTTTATTTTGCAGAAGAGATTATTTTAGAGATGTTTCCAATATATTTTTAACATTTAAAGGCACTCACATGCTGTAAATGATGTCAGAAATGATGCTTTTTTTACAATCCAATCAAAATAAGACAAAAATGCACCTTTTTCTTGACGTTTTTTTTTATGGGAAACAAAGAACGCAGCTTAGAACATGCAAAATTTTTCTGTCAGTAATTAGTCTTGGATAGATACATCTTTGGTAAAAATATAAAGTTTTTTCGAGTTTGCACTCAATATTTTCTGGAAGAAAAACTACATGAAAATAAGCATTTTTATATTAAATATACTAAAATGGCGGGAAAAGGTGAACTATGTGATGTCATATTTCTAAATTGACAGCATTTTTATCAAATTAAAAATTACAAATAAAGTTCACATGTATAGCTGTGCAAAGTAAAGCTATATATAAAGAAAAATTAAGATATTAATTTTAAGGGGCCATTTAAGACACTTGTCTTATATTGCTCTTTGTCATAACATGCTTTAAGTGCATGCAAGACATACAATGGCAATACAAGAAATCTGAGTAATTTTCGACCTGCAGGTTGAACAGAAATTGTGATTCTATGGAACAATGACCCCATTGAAAAAGTACATTTATAGTACTTAAAAACTCAAATTTATTGAAGAAAGTGTAAATTAAAAGTTACATGTTAATACTGGTAAAATGTCAAATGCATGTACCGGTAATGATAATTTGAAAATCGAGTTTGGTGAAATACATAATATATGTACCGGTATCTGTAAGTTACTAATTTTTCTCCATGTAGCATTCCCTACCACAGCAGAGAGGATGCATTAATAAAGCGCTGCCCAGTATGCCGCGTCCCAATAGAACGTAATGATGGCTGTGCACAGATGATGTGTAAACGCTGTAAACATGTGTTTTGCTGGTATTGCTTAGCCTCATTGGACGTAAGTATTCTCATACTGTAATTGATAGGAAGAGCAAAAGTGGGCACTGTTAAAAAATAATGAATACTTAACTGTTTTATAACAATGTGGGTATTTGGTGCATTAATTTGTTGTACACTAAAATTTAGACCATATTCTTTTGTTTTTGGCAGCATGACTTTCTTCTCAGACATTATGACAAGGGACCATGTAAAAATAAACTTGGACATTCAAGAGCCTCTGTTATTTGGCACAGAACACAGGTGAGTAATTATTCTACTTGGAGAATGTTAACTACAACCCTGCTGACTAGTTCTTTCATAACACCATAAACTAGGTACAAAAATGAGCTAGAAATAAAGCACTCAGAGTTTACAGATACTTAAAAATGTGGTGTCTGGCAGTGTTTGAGAAGTTTTAGTGAAATTACAAGTTTAAGAATCATGAAAAGAAGATAAAATATCAGGGTTTAGAAACATACATGTAGTCTTGATTCATGTCAAATCTATAAAGGGGCAGTTAACTCTTTTACAGGTTGTGGGAATTTTTGCTGGCTTTGGTGTGTTGCTCCTGGTTGCCTCCCCCTTCCTACTCCTGGCAGCACCCTGCATCCTGTGCTGTAAGTGTAAGCTCTGTAAGTGCTGTGAAGAGGATGATGATGTCATCGATGTTGTGACAGCGTGATGATGATTTCTTTGAATTAAGGACAGCGTACAAATGATTCATTTACATTGGTACATGTACAAGGAAATGGTAATGGAATTAAACTTGTGACATCAAAAACTCAGTGGAGCCATTGAAAAAAAAACAAACAAACAAACAAACAAAGGGAAAACTTTGTATACTAATATATTTTACATGTATCTCTGTCACAATGGTGGGAAAATATGAAAAAGGTTTAATGGAAAGTTGTGCTAAGAAAATTTGTCATATATATATATATATATATATATATATATATGAAAAATGATATTATGTTTGACTTGATGTAGCTATTTGCCTTAAAGGTTATTGTTATAAAAAAAATGTCTTATCAAACATAACTGTAAAATATCTCAAAAAATGTCAATACATCATCATTACATGAATTGTACATTGTATTCAGAAGGTCTCAGTGGTGAAAAATGTCTCCAAACATGTTTTAGACTGTTTGTGCCATTACAACTGTAGAAATAGCATGTATATATCAGGGTAAGTAAAGCCAGGGTATTTATGTATTATTGTTCTAAAGGCTAGGGATAAAGTTCATCAAAGTACAGACTTTCTTATAGAAACTTTACAAAATTGAAAATTAGAATTGTAGGTGAATCGTTTCTTTGATTCTTCTAATTGCATTATCAATGACACAGAACAAAGTAATATTCACCTGTGTTTTTTTTTTGTTTTTCATTTTGTCAGGACATCTTATCATCTTGTTTGAGTGAGGAGTGTGTGTGTGTGTGTTTTATTTTTTTTTTAAAAATCAGGGTATATGGGGTGGATAACAGGTACATGTACATACAAGTATATATGTTATTCTTTAGGTTCATTTCAGACTAATCAGGAAAAAAACTATATGGGGACCTATATATTCTCACATGACAATAGTTTACCACGGAAATTTCTTTAGAATTTTATTCTAACCAGTACATGCAAGTGTGTTTTACCATAATTTTTTGCATCTAAAATTATACTGTAGAATTTACAAATGCCCTACTTTCCTATCATTTTACATGCCAAAGTTAAATGTTGATTTTTTGAAGTATAATTATTTAATATGATATCTTGTCTTGTTATTGTTGAAAGGTGTAAAAATTGTATGCATGTAATTAGGATATACTTAATATGGTGAAAAAATGAGATTTGTTTGTCATACAGTGCACATTATCATGTAAAGCTTGTAAAGTTTGATACATGGATATAGTTAAAAGTTAATCATTCCTCAGTACCATAAAGAATATTAAAATTAAAGCAAAAGGAAAAATGCTTCATTAATTGGTGTAAAGAAGGATTTTTTTCCAGTCATTTTGGCAAAATGTAATAGTTTTGCGCAATGTTTATTGTATATTATCTGTGATAAGTACTTTTTAATGCATGTCAGTTGAACAAACAATCTGTCTAACAGATTATTTCCGTGTCATTCCATTTGTTGTTGTGTTTGTAGAGATTTATTTTGTGTAGACAGCATTGCCCTTTATTGCTGCAGTATTTGTTGTGCTTTATTTCTGTTTTTATACTAGTTGTACTCTGATATTGATTTATTGGGTATATTTTTATTTTATAGTGCGTAAAGCTTTGCTTTGTTGATATTTGTTTATGATGAAACCCAACAATAAATTTATGGACAGAGACATTCTCTACTATATCTGTTAAGGCCTTCTAGGAAAAACCTATTTTTGTTAAATTACATAATCCTATCTTGTACAACATGTTTTACCAGTATATAATTTTCAGCTCAATTTCTATAATAAATTACAGGTAACAAATTTCTATGATAAATTATAGGTAAGGTAAGAAATAAATCAAGAAGTAATTAAGTAGTCTTTTTTTTTTATACTGAATTACTAAAACTAATTCAAGAAGCACATCTTATGATGACAATTTTAACTAAAATCTGTCCAAATGTTGGTTTCAGTGTTCATGTATTTTTGTATTATACACCTGTGATATTATTTTTCATAGATATTGTTCTGGCATGCCACTTGGAATGTGAGTGCTTGTCACTTATGGCACTTCAAATTTTAGATTAATGGTTGGTTTTACCCTATTGTCCATTAAGGAAAATAGTGTTTTGCAAAGCAAAAGTAGTTTGTTAACTTATGTTCTTGTATTTTTAATTGTCATTTGTGCTTGAAGAAGTTATGATCAAGGTCAAAGTTAGAAGTCAGTTTAGGTTTACAACTGTAGCAGTCAGACAGGTTTGATCACCAGTGGCCATATAGTTCAGTTGGTAGAGCACCTGACTGGAGATTCAGGCGGGCCAGTTTCGAATCCTGATCTGGTCCGTCGCATCTTTCTCTTTTCCTGTTATATTTGGTGGCGTGCTATGCCATGGGTGGCAGGTGAGGGACCTGCGGGGAGGGAGGTGGGGTTGGTTGGGTTTTGGGGGCCAAAGACCTTTAAGAAGGGAGAAATGTGGAGGTCAGACAGGTTTGATTGCCAGTAGTCAGATAGCTCAGTTGGTAGAGCACCTGACTGGAGATTTGGGGGGGGGGGGGGGGGCTGGTTCGAATGCTGGTCTCTGTCTCATTTTCTCCTCTCCTGTTACAGAAAACTCTCCTTGATCATGTATCAAATAAGACCTTATTTTACTATTGACAAATTTCATAAAGGAGATGGGTGAACATGACGAGCGGTAAGCCTATAGTGTGACAAACATGAAGGTGAAAAATTAAATTTCAATTATATCAAAATTTTCCTTGATATTTCGTCTAACATTAAAATATACTTAATGTAAAATTTCTAAAATTGCAAAAAACCCTCAAAGATTGAAATTATTTGCCTGTGAAATATTAGACAAACACAAAAGCGGGCTAAGAGAGTTATTTTCTCATACTTTAATACTATTTTTCGATATGAGTGGGTCTTCGCTCCACTTTTTGAAAGTTAATCCTCAAAGTTTGCATAAAAATATACATTTTTTTGTTACCAAAAATATGGAGCAATGACCCACTATACCTTAAAAATATACTTTTATGACATAACATTCGCATCTTTTCGAGAAATACTTGAAGTCCATTAAGTCAAGGGACATATCACAAACATGATTTAAATGCCACACTTCATCAAGACTTGTGTAGTCTAGTGGTTAGCGTGCTAGTCTCGAAAGAAAATGATGCTCAGGATTTTTATTGCTAGGGTTCGAACCACACAAATACCTCATTAATTTTTTTAATAAAAGAATACATTTTGCCGAGAAAATTTTCCTCAGAAAAGTTTTGTTTATCATAATTTCATAAATTTCAATAATGAGAACTTTACTCTAAATACTAAATTCACAAACTGAACATGATTTTTATATATCTGAAGCTATAGGCTTTCTGCACGCTATGTTCGCCCATCTCCTTTATAGCATGAGAATTAATATCATCATCTCTTTCAACAAAATCCAGGGGGTATGTTTTTAAGACCATGCGGTTTTTCAAATGTACCAATCATTGAAATTATTGAGTGCTCTGCCTTTCTCTATATCACATATATTGTGTAATTTTCTATTATATAAGCTACATCATCATGTTATTTTCTTTTGTTCCATATGATATTGCTGAATATATTGCATTAATGTCCAGTGACGGATCAGACTATATTGTATGTAAATGTTGTTTCATTCCTGTATGTTTATGTGCTATGATTATGAAACTCTGCCACCAGCAAGTGCTAGTTATAATGCATATATTTATTGTGATATATATTTCTGGTCAAAAAAAGAAATGTTAATGTGCTGTTGAAAATAAAGTTCTGTGAATTGCATTTGCATACTGGTATTATGATTTCATTTAGGATGGACTTTCAGTGCACATAAGGGAGCTTTTCTGATCAGAGCTTGTCTGGTGTCTGTTGTTATTGGAAACATTTTAAATTTTCTTCTTCTTCTTGAGAATCACAGGGCCACCTTCAACAGCTGTTCAAACAAAGTTTCCACAAAGCATTTTTGGATGGAGATTTTTTGAAATGGCGGCGTCACATCTTTTGTCATGGGCATAAGGAAAAGAACAAGAGGCCCAAGGGCCTTAACGGTCACGAGTATAATCAACAATTTAGAGGATCCATAGAGTATAAAATGAACTGAAAGGTGAAGCTTTGTTGCCCAAAAGCAAGAAAAATAGAGTGGTCAGGATCAAAAAAATAATTAGTCTAAGCATTCATTAACAGTTCATAAATTATGTTCTAATCTGTTCCCCATTTAACACTATCACCATACAGTAAACTAACAGACTATCACTGCTTCTGTACTATCTTAATTCCTTGTTGAAATCTCTTTCATTGGCCTCTCTTGATCTTTGATGAACATTTAATAAGACAAGTTATTTTTGTCTCATTTTTATTTATCTATTACTTACAAGTCTACCTGATCATTAAAACTATGAAAGTACTTTTTTGTATTATACAATAAAAATTCTTGCATAATTCTCTTATTCTATTAACCTTTCAAGTACATTATTTACAGTGATTAATTATCAAAAGTAAATGGCAAAGGAGAATAACTCCTCTCAGTAGATTACAAATTAATAGTGCCCTAGCGAGGACCAGAACACTTGACTAAATGGTCCAGATGTTCAAATATCTGGTAAAAATACCCTTCCTTATTAAAACTTTTACTCTTTTTTGCCTCTGATATGCCCAGGTGCAGAGAAGATTTTTAAAGAAATAGTGCATTTTTACTACAGATTCACTATATTATCAATAGAGCCCCCCCCCCCCCCCCTCGAGAAACACCAGAGCCTCTCACCCTGGGACCAGAAGTTTGCACATCATAAGTAATCACTTTGTTTATCTGCTTAACACTGAGGAGCAGACAGGATTATTTAATAGAATTAATGCATTTTCACTATATTATCAAGAGCCCCACCCTTACACCAGCACATCTGACCCAGGGGTCATGCAATTCACTACTCTGGAAGAAGCACTCTTGCTCATCATAACTATACACTAGCTTCTTTGCTTTTTAACCAGAAGCAGAAAAGAATATTTTCAGAGAAATTTTGCTTTTTCACTATATAATCAATAGAGCCCCCCCCCCTTTTTTTTCACCAGAACCCTTGACCCTGGGGCCATGAAATTCACAATTTTGGAAGAGGCATCCTTGCATATCATAACAATGTACTTAGTTTGTTTAAATAATACCCAGGGGCAGAGAAGAAGAGTTTTAAAGAAATAATTCACCTTCACTATAGGATCTATATGACCCCACCCTAGCACCAGAACCCCTGTCCCTGGGGCCATGAAT